AACTTGCATATGTTGGATAATTAGCATTAATTAGCTTAATTATCTATACAATAGACAATATTTCAGCAACTGATTGGCTGATTTGGATGATATTGGAGTGATTTTGGGGGTTATTGAGGAAGCTGAATCCATTTCTGAATCCAGAAGTGGCCATATTTCAACTCTCAGTGGGCCAGTTTTTATTAATTTTGAGTCCATTTTTAGGTAACTTATAAACTTAAATTGGACTTAAAGAGAGAGCTCAATGCCATGTTAATGTTCAGTCTTATTATATTAAGATATTTCTTCAGTATCATTGTGTCTTTACTGCTGCAGTACGAATAATGGACAGACAGAAGATACAAATTGTTTTACACATGGTTTATTATCTCAGTGGAAGTAAGTTGATCAAAAAATAAAGTAAATCAAGTAAATATGTGATGTAAATTCTAAATTGAGGAGAATATAAACTGAGATCTGAGACAAAACCAGACTCAAAGTGACAGAAATAAGGAAATTAAATGTGGTCATTTTTATGATCCTCTCACATTTCCTCCAGCGCCCATGAGCTGGACTGACTGCAACCAGCAGTTTGTTACACAGAACCATCTAGGAGGTCGTTGTTAACTGTTAAGCAGAAAAAATAACTATCTGTTATAAATAAAAACTAAATAACTGTTCAGCTGATTGGTGACCAATCAGCTCAATGAACCATAGAAGAAATAGTGTTGCAACATGTGTTCTATACTTTATATATTTTGATCTCTATTCTTATATTTCATATATTTCAAATTATTTTCTTTCTTTGCTAAATGTTTGTTTGCTATGTTGGCCTATATTTGTTTGCATTTTGGCAAACTTACACTATTAATAGTATACAGAGTAGGCTATTAGCAGCTCCTGTTTGCCTGAGTCCACAGGTCGGGGTCGAACCCGCGGCCTCAGCTTTGGTACGTGGGACACCAGCTCTACCAGGTGAGCAACCAGGGCACCTTTCATTTGTTAATTTTCTGTACTTATCTTATTTTATTTTATCTTTCACAGAACAGAACACAGAAATTATTCCCCAACCAGTAACCATAGAAACCAAATGCTTAACCTCAACCTTTAACAAAAATGAACCCTAAGACTAAATCTAAAGCCTCTAACGATCATTACACGTAAACACTGGTCAAAAAGTCCTCACAAAGAAGAACAGCTCTCTTTCTCTCTCTCTCT